ACCGCCCCGCCGGCGGGAGCTGCGGGCGCGCGCCCCGCCTAGGCCTGGCCGCGCGCCGCCGCGCCGCCGCCCGCGCTCCCTCCCTCCCGGCCCCCGCCCGCCCGCGCGCTCCCGGCTCGCGACCCCCTCCCCCGGCCCTCCCCGCCCGCGCGTCCCGCACTCACTGAACATCCCAGGCGGCTCCGGCTCCTCCCGCCGCCGCCGCCTCCGCGATCGTGTCGCTTCCGCCTCCGTCGTCTCTGCCGCAGGGTCTCGCTCCGACGGCCGGCTCAGCCGGGCCCCCGCGCCCCGCGCCCTGCCGCCCCCGCGGCGGCGGCTCTGGGCGGCCGCTCCATGACTGACTGACACGGAGCGGGCCGCGGGGTGGGCCGCTCGGGCCTCCAACGCGCAACCGTCTCCACCAATGGGCGAGGCGCCTCGGCGCTCTGCTGGCGATGCCTGGCGTGCGCGCCGCCCCGCCCCGCCGCGCCGCCGGCGTCGGGCGGAAGGAGTGCGGGGGCCGCGCCCACGTGCTGGGGCCCCCGGGAGCCCGCCCCGCCGCCGCCGCCCCGCAGCCGCCGCCGCCGCCGCCGCCGCCGCCGCCGTCCTCCGGCTCCGCCAGCGGTCCCCGAGCGGGGTGGCCGCCAGCTGAGCTCCTTCACCCGGACACCACCTTCCGCCGCGCCCGCCGGCCCTGTCCGGGGCGGGTCCGAGGGGAGCTCCTTACCTGAGGACGGCGTCCAGGTGAGCCCCTTCCCGGGGCCGGCCCTGAGGTGAGCACACCCCCAGCGCCCCGCTGCCCGGGGCCGGCGCTGCGTCCCCGCCCGCGGTCCCCATCCGGGGTCGGTCTGGGAGGGAGCCCCTTCACCGAGGAGGACCCTCCGCCCCGGTCCGGCCGCGGGCCCTCGAGCGGACAGCAGGCGCTGGGGCGAGCCTCCTGGGCTCGCCGCTGGTCCGGCCTCTCCCGTCGCTCCTCTCCGCCGGTTCTTGTTACCTGGTTTCCTTCTGCTGCGCGGGATGCCCCGTGTGGCCGCGCGTAAGCGCCCTTTGCGTGAGTACTAGCGGGGTTTTGCGTTAGGCGCTGGGCTTACTACGTCCGGGCACAGAGACCTCTGCAGGGCCCCGAGCGCAGAACGTGAGCTTGTCTGGGGCGTCTTTGTAACCAATTCTGCGAACACTTTTTAAGTACTTTGTAGACGCAACTGTGGTTTCCTGACACACTGATCGAGAAGTAAGTTGTTGAACGCGCTCGTCTTGGACGTTTTGACAAAATGGGAAAACTGACAGCACTCGAGTGTTCCTCTTCTCTGTAGTAGAGTGAAGGATGCCCTACTGAATGTTAGCGCCCTGCATGCGCTGCTTGCTCCTTCCCTACAGGATTAGCTATTGAGGGTAAGTAAGTTCCGAAGGTCGGTCTGTAGGATTTCAGGCCCCATAGATTGAAGAAATGAAAGGGATCCAGCCCTTGGCAGATTCTTTTGGTTTCATAGTATGTTAGAATCATGGGACTCCGATTTTTTTTTTTTTGTTTGTTGTCCTATTTTGTTTTTATATATAATATTTTTATTTCAGTATTTTGAAAAATTTTCACTTTTGAGGAACTTCTTTTATATAACGAAAATGACTTAATGTGATACATTTCCCCTTTTTATTATGACTTAGGAAACTCAAAGCTATGTTTACTTCAGGTTTGTAGAATTACAGCTGGTTGGTATGCTTGCTTTTCTTTGCTCACGATGTTATTGTGCTCTATTTTTACAATTTCAATTATGTAACTGTATTTTGTAGAGTCTTTTTGGAAACAGTGCATGTCCTTAAGCTCATATGTAAATGAATAATGTAGTGGGAAGTTACTGTTGCAGCTGAAACTATTTCTTTTGGGACTGGTTTTATACTTTATTTCCTTTTTACTTGGTGAAATATTACTGTTTCCAAATACTGCTTATTTTTCTCTCTCAACTAATTTTTTATAACACTGGTTATTTATTTGAGAGAGAGCACGTGCAAAAGAGAGAGAGAGCAGGAGCAGCAGGGTGGGGATGGAGACGGAAAAGCAGGCTCCCCGCAGAACGGGGAGCTAGATGCCAGCCAGGCTCCATCCCAGGACTCTCAGATCATGACTTAAGCTCAGGGCAGCTGCTTAACCGACTGAGCCACCCAGGTGTCCCTCTCTTTCAACTATTTAATGGGTCTCTTCTTAATGCATAGTATATTTCAGATGATTTGTGCAGAAACTTTCAGTCTAAAACCACGTGTGACTCTCCTTTCACAAATAATTTGAACGCTTTGGGTTTTGCCCAGTTGTATTTCTTCACAGTCACCTCTTGAGGATTTTTGCCCAGTTGTATTCCTGCACAGTCACCTCATAGCAGGAATACTCCTACATATGTCTATATAATACTTCTGCCCACTTTTGTCTGAATTTCCCCCAGAAAAATTCATGGGCTAAAGCATTTAAGATTTTTTTGATTTAAATTCCATTTAATCAACATATATTGTATTATTTGTTTCAGAGGTAGAATTTAGTGATTCATCAGTTTGATTCAACACTCAGTGCTCATTATTTCAAGTGCCCTCTTTAACACCCATCACTCACTCCCATCCTCCTCCCCTTCAGCAACTCTGCTTGTTTCCTATAGTTAAGAGTCTTTTATGGTTTGCTTCCCTCTCTGTTTTTGTCTTTATTTTTCCTTCCTTTCCCTTGTGTTCATCTGTTTTCTTTCTTAAATTCCATATGTGAGTGAAATCATATGGTATTTATCTTTCTCTGTCTTCTTTCACTTAGCATAATATCCGCTATTTCCATCCACGTCTTTGCAGATGGCACGCTCTCGTTCTTTTTGATGGCTGAGTAATATTCCATTTTTACTTATATACCACATCTTCTTTATCCATTCATCTGTCTATGGATATCTGGGCTCTTTCCATAGTTTGGCTATTGTGGACTTTGCTGCTATAAAAATTGGGGGGCAAGTGCCCCTTTGAATTACTATGTTTGTATCCTTTGGATAAATACCTGGTAGTACAATTGCTGGGTAGCTCTATTTTTAACTTTTTGAGGAACGTCCATACTCTCCTCTAGAAGTTTGCATTCCCACCAATAGTGTAAACGGGTTCCTTCCTATGCATCCTTCCTGTGCATCCTTGCCAACATCTGTTGTTTCCTGAGGTGTTAATTTTAGCCATTCTGACCAGTGCAAAGTGTTCTCATTGTGGTTTTGATTTGTATTTCTGTGATCCTGGGCTACAGCATTTTAGTATATGTGCTGCCGAAGCGAGCACGGCTATGGCATCTTATATATAGATTTATACCCAACCGTTGTGTTGAGGTATTTTAATTCACTATTTTTTTTAAATTTTATTTATTTATTTGACAGACAGAGATCACAAGTAGGCAGAGAGGCAGGCAGAGAGAGGGGGGAAGCAGGCTTCTTGCTGAGCAGAGAGCCCGATGTGGGGCTCAATCCCAGGACCCTGAGATCATGACCTGAGCCAAAGGCAGAGGCTTTAACCTATTGAGCCACCCAGGTGCCCCCACTATTTTTTTTTTTTAAAGGAATATACGTTATGTGCGTAATAGTGTACGTGATGTTCATTTTTGGTGCCTATTGAGTTTGACCTTAATATATTTTTTCCACTTTAAATTGTAGATATAGTGTAGCAATGGCTGCTGTTTACTCTGGCATTTCCTTTAAGCTCAAAAGCAGGACAACTTCTTGGGAAAATAAACTAAAACTAGCTCACTTTGCTTGGATTTCCCACCAGTGCGTTCTCCCAAATAAAGAGCAAGTAAGTGTATCGCGAAACTTACATTTTTACAACTGAAAAGAATGATCACTTATACGAATTGTATATCGACATTTAGTTAAAGTTTAAAAAGATTCAAGAAAAGGTTGGGGAAGGAAACATGGTTGCAGGTTAAAAGTAACGTCAGTGAAAAAAATGCATGAGTTAAGTATTTCATTGACGGAGTTTTCTATTACAAAGTCTCAGCATTTCTTTTATATTTGGAAAAATTTCTTATATTTTGAGTCAAGTGTATGCATCAGTGAACAAGTTGGGAATCGAGTTACAGAAATGAGAATCTGAGTCTGGGTAGCTCCATTTTGTTGACAAATCCAGGCTGCTGCTCCATAAGCAAGTGCTTGTTGGTGCTTTGTTAAATGTCTTTGAATTTGGTAAATTGACAGGAGGGGAAGTAGAGAAACTTCGGTATTTGTAGTAAGCCATTCTAGAAATAGATTAGGAGCCAAGAAAGGCTTTTCTCTTTGTTAACATTTTTCAAGCTTATTTGGCAAAAAAACAAAAACCCTAAAAAACTTAACTGTAGAACACTAGAAACCCCAGGGTGTTGAGCTTATGATATTCTATTAACACACACCCATATGCTGGTATTCAAGAAGACCGCGCAAAGTGTGTCCCAGGTGGATGACATCTTTTAAGATGATGATGAGGCGCAGTATGTAGAGCAGAGCACTCTTAGGTCCAGTGGTCTCCAAACCTGCTGCACCTGAGAATCGTCTTGGCAGTCACTAGGCAACGGCTAACCAGGGTGAGATGGAAGGGGAAGTGGTGGTGGCAGTTTGATTAAGGTCTCACCCAGTCTCATGCTCAGAACTTTTTTCCCCTTTTAGCACCTGACACTTTGATACTGTTATTGACAGTGCTGGCGGCTTGAGCTGAGGCCTCACTGCCTTTTCTTGTGTTTATGAATAAGGGAATGTATCACAGTAATAGAAACTATGTATAACCGACCCTCCTTTTCCTAAAGCACTAGTGCATTATTTCGCAGAAGACTGTCTCTGTCTTCTGAGGAAGTAAATGTACCTAGAAGGTACATGTAACATGGGAAACCAGGACACAAGCTCTGTCTTTTGGCTCTGCGTTTTTGCTTTTGTGCGTTATTCGTTTTGTGGCCATTCTGAGCAATTGTTGTACTTCTAACTTTTGAAAATGAGTATAACTTCAGAAAAGTTAGAAGAAACAAGAGTTTCATTTAAAACATTTAAATGGTCCTACATGAAGACAAAATTACTTTTTCTTTATTTGTATTGATTCTATAATAATAAACATTTTAAGATACTGAGATGTTTATATAATGTTACCAAAGGTAAGTTTTAAAGGACAGCTTTTCCCTGGCAATTAGATATGGCCATGCATGGAATGTCCTTTTAGATGTCCAGCATCGTTCTTGGCAAAGAAATTCATTTATTTTTAGAGTATTATTTCTTCCAAATTCAGGTACTACTTGATTGGGCAAGACAGTCATTGATTGCATTTTATAAGAAAAAACTTGAACTGAAGG